ACCCCCCCTGCCATGGGCAGGGACACCTCCCACTAGACCAGGTTGCTCAAAGCCCCATCCAGCCTGGCCTTGAACACTTCCAGGGACAGGGCATCCACAGCTTCTCTGGGCAACCTGTGCCAGTACCTCACCACTCTCATGGTGAAGAATTTCTTCCTCACATCTAATCTGAAACTTCCCTCTTCCAGTTTAAAGCCACTGCCCCTTGTCCTATGACTCCATGCCCTTGTAGAAAGTCCCTCTCCAGCTTTCTTGTAGGCCCCTTTTAGGCACTGGAAAGCTGCTCTAAGGTCTCCCTGGAGCCTTCTCTTCTCCAATATGAACAACCCCCACTCTCAGCCTGTCTTCACAGGAGAAGTCATCCATGGGAGGACTCATAAAAAACCAAAAGCAAAACAAAAACAATTTAAAAAGAGGTTTAGCTAAACAGAAGTAAATTGCCCTGGAAACTAACTTACATTTGACTTTAGGAGAGGGTGGTTTGGTGCTGTTGTTGGGGGTGTTTGGGTTTTTTTTGTGTGTTTTAAACCAAAAAAAGGAAGCTATTTTCTATTCTCTGTTAGAGGTAACATTGAGGTAATGTAAGCAGATCTAAAGCACTTTCCTCACATGGTCCCTGGGATGAGACAAACTTCCATTATCCAGTTGCAGCTTTTTAATTAGTTTACTACCTTACAAGCTCTTAGACAAGTCATTGTCTATTCAATTGCATATCTGAGAAGGTGTTTTCTTCTACTTATGGCCAAACAAAGAATACTAATGACCTAGGACTTCCATATTAACTGTTTGTTAACCTTGTATAGTTCAGAAAACTCACCATTCTAGAGGAAAGGCAGGAGGAAAAGAAAGATAAGCATCCACAGGATATTTATACCAAAAGCCTTGAGAGTAACAGCGTTTCCAAGGAAAAAATAGCAAAACCTCCCTCATCTAAAATAGCCTATTATGGTTTTTGTTTTTTTTTCCCCCGCTCATTCTTCCTTTGGCTTGCTAGAGATGCTGTTTCAATAAAAATCCAAGATATAATATGGCCCAACAGATTATGCATAGCATTTCCCTCACCTGTTGTCGATACTTTCTTAGAATAAATTCCAAATAAATATTTCATGATAGTTATAAAACAAGAGAAAATGTGAATTAGAAGTGTATTATTTAAAAAAAACCAAAATAGCAAAAAGTTAAAAATGAATCTTTTATCAAATGTAATGACGATTCGGCAGTCAAACATCAAATCAAGACCAAACTGACCTAGGCAGAGATTTGCAAGTCTACTATAAATCGCCTTTCTATGCCTTTCATTCTCCCATGGCAGGGGGCGGAGGGAAAGAAAACAGTCTACATCTCGTTGAAACACCACCTAGGTTCTTACAGAGAAACTCGAATACTAGACACTCTGAAAGCCTTCTATGGCTGAAAGTACAAGTTGCTTGACCATAATGCCACTATCCCCAAACAGTTCGCAGAGTCCAACAGTATTTTAAATGAGAACGGACACAAGCTGAGTCAAGTGACAGGACCAATAAACACTTCCTTTCACAACCCCAAACATGCACTTTTCATATTATGGGCACAAATCCAGTAGCTGGGCTGGAATCTCCTCTCCAGCGAATCAGACTAAGATCGTTAATTACAGACTATCCATATATTATTTCACAAGGTCTTAATCAGAAGACTGTGTAGCCTCGCTGGAGTGTCATGGTGCGACTCCAACATAAATAAAAAGTTTTTTAGTGAGGGTACCTATATAACAGCATGAAAAGCTTTAATTTCATGTTTTTATTAAAAAAAAAAATCAACAACTTAAAAAACCCCAGTTCAGTTCCAACTCAGTAGAATACAGGGAAGATATTAACCACTCCTTCTAAAGAGATTTTGAGACTTAGTGCTTATGAAGTACTTCGAAGTGACAGGGATAGAAGCATTTTAGATACCAAAAATGTTAGGAAAAGAAAGAAAAAATGCTTTCACATAGCATGGGAATTAGATAGCTCATAAACAAGTATTTTTGATATTGCACGAAATGACAGTTGTTCTTTAAAAGGCACATTGAGTCTACATGGGTTACATGCTAACTCTTTACATCTTAAGTCAACTCAATCATCTCCTGGACTTCAAATCAACAAGTATCGAAATATGGTTTAATTTATTATCATATGAAAGAATCTGACAATTTTGCCACAGTGCTACTCTAGCTAAAACCAACATGCACATCCTTTCAGAAAATACTTCTAATGCCAATAAAAATAGTACACAGGCAAAAGAGAGAGTTTTACCTTGGAATGAATTTATTCATGATAGCATAAAAGCAGTTGTACAAATCACTGCGTGGCAAATGAAGGTGCACCAGAGGTTTGAGCAGATGTATCCAGCCGAGGCAAGAACTGTATTTAACATTGCGTGATTTACAATAAAAAGTAATAATAGACTCAATATCCAAAAGTAATACTGACTTCTCCTCTTCTGGCACTGACAACTGGTCTGAAATAGGCACAGCAATACAAACCACATTAATGGCCTTTCAAAGAAATTGAATGAGATTATTGTACACTGCAATTGCACCAATAGAGACTGCTGGGGAGGCGGGGGGGTGGGGGGAAGCAAAAGACAAACAAAAAACTAGCAGCTTGGACTAAATGCTTACAGAAAGGCATCTAAAGAGGCATCAAAATACAAGTGATTTTATAACCCCAGTAGGATAAGGTATTTAAATATAACTTAAATACCACAACAGGATGAAAGAAGTTTGGGTTTTCCAGGATCTATATGAAACAAAGAGGTAGATTCTTCTAATGCACAGAATGCCCCTTTTCTATTCCTATTTGATGGGCTCAGCACATAACTTATGCTCAACTCTACAACAAATTCATTTAAATTCCACAATGCATACCTCCAATTCCTCAAAAAGCCCACTGACATGCAAATTTATGAAAATCAGTAGTTTGAAATCAGCTAGGCTTACAGACTTAAATTTTAGTATTAACATATAAATCACATTTTTAATTTCTACCTCAAAGTAATTTTCTTAACAATAGTTTAACTTTGGGGTTGTTAGGGTAGCTATAAAAATAGAAATGATTGGATTACTTACAACTACACCTGGCTTTTAAATTCGATTTGGTACTGCTGCTAATCAGAACTATTAGAACACTAACCATGAACACATAATCTTTTATATAATGCAGTACATTGTTTCAAATTCTTAAAAATGTTGTAACGTACTGAAAAGTAAAGATGTCCCCTATTTAATGACAGACTAATTCTGAATCCATAACTTGTATGGATTGGCACTAAAAAATTGGCTGAAAATTGGAACTAAAAAATGTTACAAAACCAGGTCTGTAATTAAGGTAGCAAGCTAAATACTTCCTAAACTCTGTCAATATTGAGTTGGATATCTACACAAACCTTAGGTTTTTATTAGTTCCAAAGCATCTTTCTGCGTAGACTCTTACTTAAAAGGCTGACAACACTTCAGAAAAAGTGCTGGCATCCACCTCACCTGAGGCAATGAATCCAAGACATACTGAAATATGTCAGTACCGTACCCCAAATTATGCCTTCCTCCATGTGATAACTACTTAGCTTACTTACAGTTAAATGTTAGAATATTTATTACACAGATTGTAGTGAAATCAGACTTTGTGTAAGTTCATACAATTTTCACTTTAATAGTAAACACCTCTTGTGATTTTTAAAATGAAAAATCTAATATAAATACACTTAAAAATTACATATTTCAGAAATACATTTGTTTTAATCCACTGAGATTATACTATAGCTAAACCGATTTACAGCAAAAGAAAGAATAACCATGTTATGTCCAGGACATGGGGAAGAGATGCCTACCCACTACACTAATGCAGTGGCATTAAATTTCTAGCAAACACCCTTCCCCCTCAATTACAAGAAGCCTGTGAGTCTCATTACTGTTAATAAAGTTTTTATTACAGAAGTCTTTAATACATTCCCAAAGTCAGTCAATATTTTGGCATTTCTTTTCCTCTACCTCTCAAGAAAATGCAACAGTAGACAAAACTCAAACGCCATCTGAAAATTTACTTTAAATTTGGAGACTACTTGCTTTGCTAAAACATCGAAATAGAGTAACTTAATCCAACCCAAAACTGAAAGCTCTATATAACCTTCATTCTGAACTAACTTTATGTTTATTACATTAATCAGTTTGATATTGTTATATATTACAAAATATTCGCCAATAAAGACAAAAGGAGAACTAACAGACATTGAAGTGCTTAATTTTCTATGTCATGAACACAAATTGGGACATTTTGCCATCTTCCTGAAGAGTCACTGTGATTAAATAACACAGTGAAAGTTTTCCCTCCCCTTTCCTTTACAGGACAGAGAAAGAAGGAAAATAAGCCTTACTGGACTCTAGAGCTAGGGAATTTAGAACTGTATTTTAAAAGTCGTAGGCATGTATGCATGCAATAACTCCATCCTCTGCCCTAACTTTCAATTGTGCAAGAATAAATTAAAGCATGACAGGTAATGAAACAGAAGATTCTCTTATTGATGCCGTAAGAAGTAGTATCCTAATTTATGAGTCAGCATTGACTCCATCATCTGATCACTGATATTAATGCTGTTTCATGTTGTCAGGGATTTGGCCATTTTTGTGATGAGCTGCCAACTCCTTACAGACATACTGGAATATTATTTCTAATGTCCTGGCAGCATCTTGCTTTCACAAATACAACCTTCCATTTTTGCTGAAAATGCTATTAAAAAATATCATGCTTAAAAATAGTCTTTAAAGTCCAAAATGTTTAATATATTTCTTCCCTTAAAGGTTATATGCATTTGGTGCCACACCAGCTTTTCAGATTAAGAACCAGTCGTTAGACAGTTAAAAACTCAAAGGACACTA